AGGAAGAGGATGCAATATGACATGCCGTGGAGAAGAGTGTAATCAGCAATGCAACGGGAAAAAATATTGCAATATGCATTGTTCCGGGAAAAACTGTACTCAGCGTTGCAACCGGCAAGGAAGAGGATGCAATATGACATGCAGTGGAGAAGAGTGTAATCAGTATTGCGGCAAGAAAGAAAGCTGCATTATGCAGTGCAGTGGGAAAAAGTGTACTCAGCGTTGCCAAGGGCAAGTGAAAGGATGCGAAATAAGTTGCAGTGGGAGAGAAAATTGTAGTCAGCATTGTAACGGAGCAGAGGATTGCATTTTGCGTTGCAGCTGGAAAAGGTGTGATCAGCGTTGCAAAGGGCAAGCTAAAAAATGCAATATAACATGTAGCGGGAAAAACGGTGTTCAGCGTTGCAAAAGGCAGGTAAAAGGTAGCAATATGACATTCAGCAGGGAAGAGTGTGATCAGGATAGTAATGAAAAGGAGGATTGCAATATACAATGCAGCGGGGAAAACTGTACCCAGCCTTGCAACGGGCAGTTAGATAAATGCAATATGCAATTCAACGGGAATACTCGTGAACAAACGTGTCGTGCTCAGACATGTAGCATGACATGGCATGGGTTCAGGAATGGATTAACCAAGCAGATCTGCGAAGATGGGAATGGTTCATGTTATCAACACGTTAGGATGCAATGCAATATGGGAAGCTTTCATTTCAAGTGTGACAGACGTGACCAATGCAAGGCCTCCAAATGGTTCAGTATTGACTGTATCACATCAGCTTTATACGCTTCTAATGTCGTTAAAACTGCCACGGTCACAGCAACCCAAGCTATCACAACTCAAATTCCAACATTACAAGGTAAATAAAACTTCCATGTTCGCAATGAGTGCCACCGAACAAAAGATGATGACAAATATAATAATGATAACGATTATAATAATAGTAATAATATAAATAGTAATAATAATGATGATGATGATAATGATAGTAATAACAATTATAATAATAATAGCAATGATAACAATAATGATGATGACGATGATGATTAGGAGGATTATAGTAATCAGTTTGTTGAACAATCCCCGAGACGTAAGAGAGGAGACTCTTCAATAATATTCATTGAGCCCCAGCTGAATAATTGTTTTAACGTGTAATGACTAAGATGCTTTCAAATTTTGTTGTACACATTCGTTTTGATGTGGAAAACCTTCCGTTGCAATTGTTTTGATTACTCGTACTGTATCTAGAATCGGCGACAAAATTGTTGATATATTGATCTTTTTAACCCCCTATAACTTCCATTTTATCACTTTCGCCCTCGTTAAATACCACAATCATCTCGCGTGAGTCGCGCGAGGTGATTATAGCTGGATATGACGCAATACTTGACCAATCAGAGCGCACACACCTCTTATCATCGTAGCATATATACTAGCAACTAATGAAGACAGTGATAATAATAATAATATTGGTAAATATGATAATAATAATTCCAACACAAAAGCGTATAAACTGTTTACTTCCTCTTCCATCAAGAGAATATAACAACAATGTCAAAATTTTTTTCTACGAAAAATGGTCAAGACCACTGAATAAAACTTTACTATATAGATTTCTCGCATTCCAATCTCCTTGAGCTTTATGGTAGCGTTACGATTTGTTTGAATCTATTTTAACCATGACCATTACTTTCACGCAGTCCCTTTGCATTCATCATCACCGAAATCATTATCGTTATTGCTGCCATCACCATCATCAACACCATCATCGTCGTCGTCACCGTTATTACTGTCGTCATCACCACCAAC